TCCGACGATCGTACGTTAATCGAATATACAAATTGATTATGTCATCTCAAAGCTTATTTCGAGAACTACATTATGGGCATATCGAATACTCCAAACAGATATCGAAAATAGTTAAAAATATATTAAACGTGAATATTAAAAAAAGACGTCAAACTCGCATTTTTTTAAAAAAAATTCAATTATTTTATTGATATTTATTATTTTTGCGATACAAATTTCTCAATATAATTTTTATAATTTTATTAGGAAATTTTATATGGACTACGACATAAAATTTTTTCGAAATTTTACATCCGAAAAAGTCATATCCAATATAAATTTTCGGATGTAAAATTACATGGATGATGATTTTTTTGGACGTAAATTTTCGATTGAAAAATTTCTCTTAACTTCTTTGTAAGTTCTATTGTGCCACCATAACTTTTAAGTTCTGCGTCAGCCCCTGATCATAGGAGCACTTGTAATTGGAATATTTTTTGAATTTACGATCTACTTATAAAACTAATTATGTGATTTAGACAATGTTGATCTGGGAACAACGTGTGGAAAGTATTTCCGAGTGTCATGCCTCAGCATCGTTGATCCAGGTTTGAGAACTTTTCCTTACTCCGAAGTTTTTTTTTTTTACACCCCCTCCCCCCCACAATACAGTTAACTGAACGATGTCCGACTTGTATTGCTATTGATTTTACAGGCGATTCAGGTATCATAAAGTCTTTGCCAGGAGATCAGTGAGATTGCCAAGTAATGCATAGAACCAATAGAGCCATCTTTTTTAGGATAAATCTTTGAGTACAGAAGAATTTTCATAGGATTTTTCACAGGTTTTTGAATTTGTCTCACATGGGGATGGGCCCATGTGAATGAAAAATAGGCAAAACTCCCCCGACCCACCCACCCTGCCTGTGTGTGGTATGTAAGTACAGGAATTTTAAATTTCTGTACTTGTAGCATCACCCTCTTTTTTATGGGTTATGATATCTTCTGTTGTTGAAATTGTTAGATGGTTTTGCATTAGGAGATTATTCCTTTTAACTGTTTACATGGATGAGTCTGAAAACTATGTTTTCTTATTGATCATTTTGTCTCAAAATCTGTAGGCATTGAGTTGTACTAATCAAATAGCTTGTTTGATTTTAATCATATTGGCTTTTTGGCTCACTTAGGGTTGTTTGGTAGGGCTTTTACTTCGGTCAACTTACAAAAATACTCTTAAAATAAGGGATCTTTTGAAAAATTATATGAAAAATATTTTGAAAGTAAAAAATATCGTGTAAAATTAGGTGCCATTTTTTTTATTATTAAAAGTAATATAATGTCACTTGTTAAAGTTAAGTTGCATACAATGTCACTTTTATTAAAAAAGTGAGTCGTTAGAAAAAGTTATAGAAATTTTACGAAAGTGCCGAGAAAAGTGGCAAACAATAGAAAATGTGATAGAAATTAAAAAAATGTACCAAATACTTTAAAAAGTGAGAAATTCAAAAAAGAGACGAACACTAAAATAAGTGATTAAAATTTAAAAAAAAGTGACAAAATATCAATTGAAACATTGAAATCATTTCAATAAAGCAATAGAAATTTAAAAAAAGTGACACAACAATCGTTCTTCCTCTTTCTCTATTCATTGTCAAACATTTTGAAATCAGTACATTGACAAAACACCAACAAAAATGTCAAGCATCTTTAAAAGAGTTCACCACTACTATCATCTACCAATTCAACCAACCTATTGACCTTCAATTAATGAAGATCACAACATGAGAACAAGCTATAACTTTTATTATATTAAATCACATGTAACTTGTATTGCTATGCAGCATGAGGACCTGAAACCAGCATTCCCCGACCAACAAGATGGACCATAGCTATTGGTATAATCAGAGGACTTTGCTTCCTTCACATCGAAGCATCTATTGGAAGTGGCAAAATTCGAAAAAGTGACACGAATTAGAAAAGTGACAAAAATTAAAAAGAAGTGACAAAAAAGTGATATAAAAAAGTGGCAAATAATATATTACACAGTCTAAACAACATTATTTGTATGTCTCATATAAAATGACTTCAAATGACTATTATTTAGCCATTGAGACACAGAATACACAATTTGTTTGAGCTATGTTATAATTTGTCTCTTAAAACCCTTGCCTTCACCATTCCCAAGCAACTACTATCTTCCTTCCCAGTTCAATTTTGGTCAACAATTAATTTCCTTTTCTAATTTGTTGCACACACAGTCTCTTAAAGCCCTCGCCTTCACCATTCCCAAGCTAACTACTATATTCCTTCTCAGTTCAATTTTACTCATCAATTAAATTTTCTTTGTCAAT